TGTTTGCTAAAAAGTGGCACAAAATTGAAAGGAATATATGTTTTATGAGTTTATTTCGCCAATTATTTCAAGCGTTTGAAGGAATCATTGGTTTCGAAGAGATTTTGTGACCAATTGTTTGAGAAATATAAGGCATTTTCAGCTAATGTTCTAATGATTGGGTGTTTTTGAGGAGATTTCGCTCGTCTTTTAGGACTTCTTGGCCGCCGACCCGTCGCTCAGAAAGTCGTCCAGAATTTGAGTCATACTCTCGCGGAGGGCATCCGATTCTTGTGGCTCTTGTGAGTGATATATAGTGGTCTCCATAACAGTCGTGTGTCCGTCCGTGTCGGACACGGTTTCTGTTAAGACTCTGAATCGACACCAAAAACAGTTAAAACATTAATACTTTACACAAAAAGTGATCAAAAGTTTTATGCATTAATACCTCGTATTTCCAGTAAAAGTGGAAAAGTTTTCCTTATTCTGACTTCTTTTGCCGTTTTGTTTACCAAAATCTGCGACAAATTAATTTTGAATTAAATTTATATTCACTGATGAAGTGATATCCAAAACACTGGGGTATATGTCATGCAAATAATATGTCCACCAAAATGAAAATGTGAATCAAAAGTAATATTGAAAACCATAAACTCAAACGCAAACTCAATGCATAAACCATTGGAAACAATGAGAGAAAACCACTCATAAAATACAAACAAAATTCATTTAAAACCAAAAATACATTCAATTCCGTGAATAATAACCTCTATTATGAATGCATTGCAAAGAATTAGCGATAAGTCATACCAATTGGGAAGTCATGGGAAGTACAGTAACATGTGTTTGGACTTAAATTGCACTCATTATCACTTAAATCATTTTCATCATCAATACCTGGAAGTAATTCATTGGCATATAGATCACAAAATTTATTTTCAATGTAAGCATTAATTAATTAATTAAAATCAAACAAATTATACGACACTTATATTGTATACGAATAATCTCTAAACGACAAATAAATGCTAAAAATAAATACTTTCAATAAATTAATTAAATAAATAAATAACGGAAACAAGAGTTGAGACGAAAAACACATGAAATTTAAATGCAATTCAACGGCCCGTTGGGTCTCTACCTGTTGTCTGACTCTCGGCTTTATTACTATCACTAATATTTGACTCGCGATTAGAGCTTTGATTAGAGTTTTGCTGATTGATCTCGATCAATTCACTCTTATCGCCGGACCAGGTGCTCATGAACTGATCCAACTGTTTCTGGGCGTCGGGTCCGCTGAACGTAAGGGTTCTCACTTCGGGCCTTACGGTCACCTCCTGATAAACTTTGTACGGATTGCCCAACTCGTCCACCCCTTCGTATTCATCGACATTAGTAATTGTCTCCAATTTGGTGAACGGCTCCAGAAACTCATCCGTCTCTTTCTGAGCCAATTGACCGCTCACTGACTTCTTGGTCAGGTCCGGGCCCTGAGTGCTAATGGTCTTCACCGTACGCCTGATGACTACATTTCCGTATTCATCGAAACCTTTCTCCTCTTCAATCACTTCATTGCCCGCTTCGGCAGACATCCGAAGCTTTTCCAGGAATTTCTCTTCGCTTTCCGAAGAACTGGAAGCGCCGGCCGTCTGCTGTGACGGAGGAACTGAACGTTTGATTCGTCGGATTATCTTAATATTTCCTCTTTGATCCTCGGTTTGGATCTCTTCGAACTCATCGGGGATGTCGTCCTCAAAATGATGTCTAAATTGCGATCTCTGGTCGCTGTGTAACGGATCGGGCGATGCGTTGAACAGTTCCGTGGTGTCAGTGCTCGAGATCATTGTCGACTCATCGCCTGATGTGAGGTAACTGTTGATACTCGAAGACATGCCGGTGTCGTACTGATAGGTCGCGTGTGTGGCACCAGAATTGGTCACTTCCATGGAGTCCGTACTCGAGAGCATACACTCCAATGGCTTAGCGATGCCGTGAAAGCTGTCTCTGAGTGAATCCTCCTCGAAGTCGGTCTCTTCCCGAAGAGTGGCCAAAGCGGGTCCTCCCGACTCACACGTCAGGTTTGCGCTCATATTCTCATTCATTGTCTCGCTTTGAAAGTCCAACTCATGTATGGAGTCGTCTTTGAACTCGTCCGAAGACATGGATTTGTTGTCGTCTCTATACTCTCGCTCTAAGTCTCCGATTCTGTCGATCAGTGAATCCGTATTAATGGTAGAGATTGAGCTCTTCGGGTGTGAATCCGTGCTTTCAGTCGACACTACTTTTCGCGTTAGTATGAGTTGAGCAGCGCTTGCACTTTGAGACTGCGATCGCGTCTTATCTTCTCTCATGTCATCACTAATACTCTTATCAATGGATTGGCTGTCAGTTGTTGTCGTATTGTTATCTATCTGTCCCCTAGAGATGGACTTTTGCGATATTTTCATCATATCTTCAATCTCTGACATCCGCTTCTCGTAGTCGGAGTCCGTGTCGTCCGACCCGTGATTTCCCGGGTCTGAGAGGGTCTCCTGACTGGCCTGACTCTCGTGTCCTTCCTCTATCTCCGACAGTCTGGCCGCCTCTTCCTGTGCGCGCCGTTCGATGGCCTCGGCTTCCGAGCAGTCTTTCTCCAGTTTCTCGAACTCATTGATACTGGAGCTCATAGAGTGCTCGTCTCGATCGCTGCCGCGACCCACAGCAGCCCTGCCCTCAAAGCTGGAGCCCAGGGAGTCGCTCGAGCCGTGATGACTGCCTTTTGCTCTCATTTCGCTCTCAAGTCTCTCGAACTCTTTCAATGAGGAAGCCGTCGACGACTCGCCACTTCTGGAGGCGGCGATAGTTATGGGTTTGCTTTGAGACAACCGAGAGTTCAACGACGCTCTGATTGGCGAGTCTTCGACGTCTTCGTCCACCTCTTGATGTGTGTATAGCTCTGTGTGTTGTTCCACACATTGGCTCATATCTGGTGCTAAATTGTCTGAGCATTCAGTCGACGGACTCTTCTGTAGATACGGTTCGGGGAAGTCATCG